CCTTGCCACAGGAATGAACACGAATAGGAAAAGAGAACAAAGTCTACCCCTTCCTCCTCATAATGCAGTTCACATTAGAACTCTTGAGTGATACCTGCTACTTTTTAAAGAGTATTATTATTTTTCATTATAGACAATTTGGAAGTATGGAATTTTTTCACATGACATTATGGAAAAGAACCTTTTTACAGCCTGAAATAGACTCTGGCTGGAAGACAGTGCTGAAGTGATTGCAGGAGTGTGAAGACTTCTTGAGAGGAGTTGCGTGTTCTGCTCCCTGTTTGGTCTCTGAGGAGATGCAAGGCTTTTCTTTTTTTCTTTTTTTGGTCAGTTGTGGGGCCTGAACTCTTCCGCTCAAGGCTAGCACTCTACCACTTCAGCCACAGCTCCACTTTTGGCTTTTTCTGCTTATGTGGTGCTGAGGAATCGAACAAGGCAAGCACTCTACCACTGAGCCACCTTCTCAGATGGGTGGCATTTTAAAGCAGCTTTATGAAGGCATCATTCGTGTACAAGAGACTATTCCTATGTCAAGTGTATAACTTGATAAGTTGTTTCATTCATTTTTGTCCCAGTCCTGGGACTTGAACACAGGTCCTAGACACTGTGCTTGAGCATTTTTGCTCAAAGGAACCATACCTCCTTCTGGCTTTTTGGTGGTTAATTGGAGACAAGAGCACACAGACTTTCCGGCCTAGGTTGGTTTTGAACTGCAATCTAGATCTCAGATCTCAGATCTTGGCTTCCTGAGCAGCTAGGATTACAGGCATGAGCCATTGGTGCCTAGCTACTTGATACGTTTTGATATGCAGGTATAAAACAATTTACATGATCAAGATACAGGATATAATTATTACCTTCAAGTTTCCTTGGGGCCTGTGTGTTCTCCACACATAACCATTGATCTGCTTTCTGTCACTATGAATTCATTGGATAGATGACTTTGATCAAGTTACTTAATCTCTCAGATTCTCCATTTTCTCACTAGTACCAAGAAGGAGGCAGACTTGATGGACACAAAGACCCCCTCCAATTTTTTTCTGACATTTTATTCTGCCAGTCCTGGGGTTTGAACTCAGGGCCTGGGCACTGTCCCTGAGCTTCTTTTGCTCAAGGCTACCACTCTACCACTTGAGCCACAGAGCCTCTTCCGGCTTTTTCTGTGTATGTGGTACTGAGGAATCGAACCCAGGGCTTCACGCATGCAAGGCAAGCACTCTACCACTGAGCCACCTTCCCAGCCCCAACCCTCCAATTTTAAAACCCTGTAACTCCAATATTCTAAGTAGAATTAAAAAACAACAAACAAAACCACCACAGTCAGCTCCAAAGAGTAGGATTTAGTGCTCTCCACCAAGTAAGGCCCTCTGGACTCAGACTACCCCCAAACAGGATTCCATGTGGTAGGCCTTTAAAAGAGTTCAGCACTCCCATTAGCATACCCCAACCATTACTGCCATAGGATCAGAGGGATGTGGAAAAGGGGAATCCACTTCAGGAATAGGAAAATCTACTAATGTACTCCCTTTGTATTCATCTTATTGAAATCCCCCTCTTTGACCAGACACAAGCATGCTGCAAAGCATGGGTAAGCAGGCTGCTCAGCAGCTAAAGATTCTCTGTGACCCTTGACCCTTCCCCCTCCCACCAAGTCCCTTTCTGGGACTCGTAGCTTCCTTGACTTTTTGTTTGTCTGTTTGCTAGCTTGCTTTTGTCAGTCATGAAGCTTGAACTCAGGGCCTGAGCACTGTCCCTGAGCTTCTTTTGCTCAAGGCTGGCACTTTACCACTTGAGCCACAGCACCACTTCTGGCTTTTTCTGTTTGTGTGATACTGAGGAATGGAACCCAGGGCTTCATGCATGCTAGGCAAGCGCTCTCCCACTAAGCCACCTTCCCAGCCCTTAGTGTGTGTTTTTTTAAGCAGATTAAGCTGCATCATCCGAGGAGGTGTCTCCCTTCTCACACATGGCATTTTCAACTCATGACTTTGGGTTGTAGATAATACATTGCCAGCATCCTCTCCTAACCAATGGGTTGCATCTAGGATTAGGAGAGTCGGTGGCTTCTCAGTAGTTGTTTTTAGGTTTTGTGTGTGTGTGTGTGTGTGTGTGTGTGTGTGTGTGTTTCATTTTGTTCAGGGCAAGGAGATCTGAGGTCTTGCATTGCCCAGTACTGTAGTGGAAATGAGACACCATCAACCACAGAGTCACTGGACTGGAGATGGGGGGAATGCACACAATCAGAGCTGGCGAGCAGATGTAAGCTGGCTGTGATTTATAGGACTTCCCACGGTCTCTCATCTCAACCCTGCTCTACCCACTCCTCCCACTGCTGCCGGACTCCTTCTGCTGAGTCTTCAAGAGTATTCTTCAAGACCATAGTCCTCCTGGTCCTCATGAAATACCCTAGACCTTCTTCAAAGTACCATGGGCTTCCTCCCTCGGGCATCACATCCATCACAAGGAAGGTTTCTCTGCTTCCTCGCCATCATCCCTGTTTCAGTTCCCTAGGCCTTCCACAGCCACTTCTGTGTTCCTTACGTTTCCACTCCTGTACCCAATCCTTCCTCCTTCAGTGCTCTCATATCCACCTCTCTATCTCCCTCAGTCCTCCTGCTGCTCATATTTGTCTTCCTCCAGATACTCCAGAACTTGGGTGATGCCCCTACATCTTCAGCTCGTTCTCATCCTGGGTGATTGCAGGGTCCCATTGGATGAGCAAGCAAACTCTCAAGTCTCACACTCTCAGCTTCCTCCCTTCCGTGTATCTTTGCTTCTTTATCACCTTCACCATGCCTCCAAGACCACATCCTGATCTTTACTCAAGCTTTGAAATTTACACTGTAAGTGAAGGGTCCAGTCCTGTTCAGGGTTCATTTACCTGTTCTTTACTACCAATAGGCCTCGAGGCCCAAGAATCCTGATTGCTCTGGGTGTCTCATCTCTTGTAGCCTCATCTCCTTCCTCTCTTATCTTTGGTATGTCACATACACTAACTTCTAAAAAAATCCCCCAGTCGTAGATCATCAATCCAATATCCAGATAAACACGGTGAGAATTTATTTCCCTGGGAGTTTTATATTTTTTTTGTTTGGTTTTGTTCTGTTTTTTGAGACAGAGCCCCACTGTGTAGTCCAGAATGCCTAAACCTCCCCATCCTTCCTGCCTCTGCCTCTCAAGTGCTAGGATTACAGGTATGAATCATACAGGCATCTCTATGTTTTATCATCAAATTTATTGCACTTTTATTGTTCTAATTTTCTCAGCTGTACTAGAGAGTACTCATTTTTGCTCAACAAACTTTGATTAGGCATCAGTTCAGCACCCAAAAGCACAGAAAATAAGATATGATCTTGTTCTGAAGGTTTTTCCAATAGGAAAGAAAAATATTCAATATCTGAAACAATGCAGGAGATGATATTGGAGTGTGTAATCAACACAAAGAAAAGAAAGGCAGCATGTAAGAGCTTTCTGGACATAGCAATGTGAGAGGCATGGAGGTAGGAAATAACAATGGTGCATCAGCTTTTTACTTGCCTCAATCACTCATCCGCTACCACAACCCTACATGGAAGGTGTCTACCAACAAACTATCACCGCTCAGAGAGGTTATATTTCAAGCTAACGTTCAGGCACCTGTTAAGCAGCAAAGACAAGGTTAGGTCCCTGGTAGCCTGGATCTTGACTTCATGATTTATCCCTCTACCATGCTGGGGCATGTACCCTTCTGAGCATTCCTTCCATAGTAAGATTAGAAAAATCCTAGTGTTGAAATCAGGAAAAGGGATACTAGACACTGGGCAAGCAACTTTGACAAATGTCCACTGTAATCATTTCAGAAATGCAGCTTTATTTTTCACTTGCATTGTTTGCCCAGAATAAAATTCCCACAGGTGAGATCCAGGGGCCAGAGGAGCACACATTAAATGGCTTTATATGCCCCAGAGTTCTTCAACGGGCTTGAATACGTTTACATTCTGTTGTCAAGGGTGAACGAATTGTACCCCACTCCTATTTGTGCTGGGGGCTGTATGTTGTTTACCCCTGAGCAGTTTTAAATTGGCTAGATTCTGCGCTTGTTTAGATTGGTATAGCTTTCTTGCTCGTTTTAGAGTAGAAAGTGCAGATAAATGAGTAAACCAAAGTTGTTCTACCTGACCATTGAATGGACAGGTGGGGGGGGGGCAGGACAGGTGTGCCTGCAGCATTAGGGGACAGAGAGGCTGGTTCTGTGAGAAGATGCCACAGCGGTGCTCCCAGCCCCGCCCGGCGCGCACGTTCCAAAGGCCCTTCAAGGTGAGGCCTTCTACCATCACGACTTAAGGTCGTGTCAGCTGCATCCTTGCTGGGAGGCTAGACTTCTCCATTTTTCTGTAAATCGATGTGTGTAGAGGAAGCCAAAAAAAAAAAACACCCAGCTATACGTCTCTCGCTTTGGGGTGCCCCCTTGAGCCCCCGTCCAGGGGGCGCCCGTGCAGGACAGCGCCCGAGGCCTGGGCGCCTCCGCCCACCGCGGGGCGGCGGGAAACCCCACACCATAGAGATGGGAAACCTCCGGGCTCCTAGAGAGGAACGGCAGGCTCCAGGACCGGACTTCCGGTTTCTTCTTCACACTTCCGCTTCCGTCCCGCCGCGGTGGCGTGTCCGGTTGGGCGGCTGCGTGGCTCTGGGTTCTTCCTCACCTGTGGGGGTTCGGGTCTGGGGGTGTCAGAGGAGGCTGAGGGCCGTCCCCTTGTCCCTCCCTGTGGGAGAGACTGGTGATGCCAGTCCAAGCGCTCAAGGCCCCGTCGCTTTTCGTGAAGCGAAGACCGAGTGGCCCATCTCGAAGGGAACCGAGCCAGGCGCCCGTGGCTCACGCCTGTAATCCTAGCTGCTCGGAAGGCTGAGATCTGAGGATGGGTGTTCGAAGCCAGCCCAGACAGGACAGTCGGTGAGACTCTTTATCTGCAATAACTACCGAAAGGCAGGAGGTAGAACTGTGGCTCAAGTGGTAGAGCACTAGCCTTGCGCAGAAAAGCTCAGCGACAGCGCTCAGGCCCCGAGTTCAAGCTTCTGTAACAGCGCCAGAAAGAAAGTAACAGACATATATGATGCACTTTATTATTTGTGAACCGGACAGGCGGTGACTTGGGTCAGACGAGGAGGAATTGCAAAGGAATGTGTAGAAAAGGGACTTGGAAGAAGGATGCCAGTTGGCACTGTGTAGAAGTGGGTCACGATACCCTCCTGCGGGAGAGAAGGGTGAAGAAGGTAAATCAAGATCTCTCACAAAAGGAGAAAAAAAAAAGTCACGACTGTGTGTCAAGTGGCCAGAATACTTACTTGGGTTTCTACCCAATCAAGAAACCCACTTAGCACCAGTGCTAACTTCCTACCTCTTTCGAACTTGAGTGTGTTCAGTTTTATTTTTCTTTTTCAGTAGTTATACAAGGAGTTGCCATTTCGCAAAAGTTTATGAATATAATGTGTCTTCATTAGTGTTACCTCTTTCAACATTATCAGTCAACCCGCCCCTTCTTAATTTTGTGATGTTTACATTGGATTCGTGACAGCATTTATCCCCCCTTCTCTTCACCCATCTTCCCTTCTCCTCTTGGCCCCCACCCCACTTCTTACAAGTATCTGGTTCTTGATGCTTATTTTAAGATGCCTGCCATACTACCCACCTCCCACGTCCATGGGATTGTGCAGTTGTGTTCCCGAGGGGAAAGTGAGAGATGGTCAAATACATTTTGGATTTGAACCGCTGCCTCTTAACAAAGTTAATAACAGAAAATTCAGCTGTTCTGAAGAGACTTGGGATAATAGAACTCACAAGTTTAAGTCTGGTGTTTCTCAAGCTTATGACCACAAATGTCTGACAAACACTCAACAGTAGCTATTTTGGTAAGTGCTCCTGTAAAGAAATCAATCACTCGGGCATAGGCCTGCACAAAAGGCATTCTCACTTCTCAAAAGGCATTCTAGATCTTTCTTGGAAATGATCTGACTGAATTTCAGTAAGGATGGTTCCAATTTTCTGAGCAAGAAAAATCTATATATGCAGGCCTGTGGCAGGGTGCGTTAGGGGTCCCCCAAGACACACTAGACTCCATGATTTGCTTGGAGAACTCTAGCACTCAGCACAAAGTTATCCTCTTGGCTGTGATTTATCACAGTGAAAAGATACAAAGCAAAACTAGCAAGGGAAAAAGCACAAGGGGCACTCTGGAAACTACCAGGTGGCATCTTCCAAGAGTTCTCTCAATAGAACTACAAAGGACACATTCCATTCCTCCAGCAGGGAGTTGTGACAAGTGTGAAACATTGTGTATCTGAAGAGCTTGTTAGAAACTCAGTACCCAGAGTTTCCATTGGGGCTGACTAATAATATAGGTACTCTAAATAATATGTATCATGACTCCAGACTACCAGAAGGAAAGCAGGTATTCAACATGTATTGCATGGCTTGTACTACATGGCCTAGACACAAAGCCACTTTTCACAGCAACCCCAAGGAGCCATCCCAAAAGCCAAGCTCCTAACTAGCAGCCAAACTCATAACTCAAGACTGCTATGACAACTCTCTGTTCACAGTAGAAATGGTGGGTCACAGCAGCATAAGTTCAGGAAATGCTTTAAAGCAGAAGGATGTTTGGGATGAATGTTGAAAACAGAAGAGATGATAATCAACTTGGAAATGTAAGATGGGGCCTCTAGCCCAGGGAGCCTTAACAGCAAAGACGAAGAGGAAGGGACACTACCTTATCTTTACAAACACATGGGTTGTTCGGAGTGGTTGCAATGTGGGTATGAATGAAACACGGTAAGCAAGCGTTGGTGAGATCACTCATGATCAGTGCCCACAGTCCCAGGTGTGCTGAGTTAGGGATTCCCTGAATGTTAGTAGGTGGAGAGGGTTCCAAGCAGAGTGAACGGTACATGCAGACTAAAGGCACTATATTCATTAGCAGAGACTGCTGTAACAAAACGAGAGACTGGGTACCTTAAATATTGGAAACTTTCTCACATTGTTAGAAGTTCAAGATGAAGGTGTCAACAGTTTGGTTTCTTTCGAGGACTGTCTCCTTGGCACAAGCAGGCAACCTTACTGTCTTCTCACATGGTCTCCTCTTGGTCTGTGTACCTGTGGGGTCTTCTGGGCTCTTCTTCCTATCAGGACACCAGTCATATTGGACTAGGATCCACACTCACTGTCTTGTTTTAACTTGATTGCGTTTTTGAAAGGCCCAGTTTCCATGTTCACTCACATTTTAATCAGCTGGGAGTTGGGATTTCCATCTATGAATAGGACATGATTCAGCCCACAGCAGACATGTAAATACTTGGTGTAACTTAAGTAGAGTTCTTGTGGAAAGTGCTAGAGACCATTCCAGATTGCTTTGTCTTTTCCACTAAAAAGACAAAAAAAAAAAAAAAAAAACAAATATGTTACAGTGAGATCCTGTTCTGAAAAAAATAACAAAAGCAAAAAGAAAAAGGTATGGTTCAAGTGGGTGCTGAAGCTCACTTAGTGGGTAGGGACAAGTACTTTTCTAGTGGATTGAAATAAATTAAGGCATAGGTAACCAAGTGAATCACAGTATCATTTCCTAAGACTTCATACCATTTATGTGTGTCTTTGTGTAGGCATGCTAGTTCATGATGCAAAGTTTGAAAAATTTGCAAACTGAGATGTTCAAAATAGGATAGAGACTGAGCACTTCCCCCACTGGTGCAAAGTGGGAAGATCTGTAAATCAGTATCCTCCAGAGAAATAAAACTATCAGGGTAGAGAGCTATATCGAAGGGATTTATTGTCAGAACTGGTTCACACAATTGGGGAGGCTGTGAAGTTCCACAATATGCCATCTGCAAGCTAGAGAACCAGGAAAGATGTGTTGTACTTAGTCCATGTGGGACCAGAGAAAGGGGTTACAAGTCCAGGAGTCCAAAGGCCCAAGGACCAGGAACTCTGAACTCCAAGGTTTATGGAGCTGGTGCCCCATCTCAGAAAGAATTCAGGAGCTAAAGGTGTGGCTCAGTGGTAGACTGCTTGCCTATTGAGTGTGAAGCCCCAAGTTCAAACCTCTGTACCAGAGAGAGAGAGAGAATTCACCTCCATCTTCTGTTCTGTCTGCTCTCAACTGATTGGACGGTGACCACCCACACTGGTGAGGCCAGATCTTTATGCTCAGTCTACTGATCTCCAAACATCTTCCAAAAATACTCTCACAGATAGACTCAGGAATAAAATACTGCCTGCTTTCTGGATATCCCTTTTTCCAGTCAAGCTGACACATCACATTAACCATCACAGAACTGTTTTCATTACACCTAAGGCATAATAACTATTTGTAAGCAGTGGCCTAGCAATTCTGGCTCAGTGGGGCCTGCATGGCAGGCCTCAGGTCACAGGCTGAGAGGCAGCAGAGTATGAAAAAATCTCTCCCTAAGGAAGGAGAGGACTGGAGCCATCCCCGGAGCCAGCTGCTGTCCCTCACGTCCTCTCCTAGGCTGGAATGACCTGGAGTCCAAAGATGCTGGCTAGACTTGGAAACTGAGTGTCAGAGTCAAACTGTGAGCCAAACTTCCACCTTCATCCCTGCCACTCACCAGGAGGGAATGTGTGAAAATAAAACACAGAGCTGGTACACAGAAGGTCACAGATAGGGTAGCATCCATCCCACTGGTGAAATGTGATTAACATCTTTCTGGGTAAGAAAATGGTAGAGAGATTGCCAGGTGCTGGTGGCTCACACCTATAATCCTAGCTACTCAGGTGGCTGAGATCTGAAGATCGCAGTTCAAAGCTAGCCCAAGTAGGAAAGTCTGTGAGACTCTTTATTGCCAATTACTCACAGAAAAAGCCAGAAGTGGCACTGTGGCTCAAGTGGCAGAGTGCTAACCTTGAGCAAAAGGAGCTCAGAGACAGTGTCCAAGCCCAGAGTTCAAGCCCCAGGATGGGGGGGTCGGGGGAAGAGACAAACAGTGACATATTGATTAGGCCTCATGAAGGCAAAGCCCCCACTAGGGACACAGTCCTCCAACAGCAGCCATCAGGAAGAGCACAACAATAAGAGCTGGCAAGACAATAACAGTTATGATGTCCAGCCTGGGCTGCATTTCCAGGGAAAAGTAGGACAGCCGAGTCACAGGGCACCAGCAGCAGAGGTGTGGTCTGAAGTCACAGCTCGCTCTAGAGCAAAGAGCATGACTTAGACCCAGCCCTCAGTACTTCCTAGCCGAATGACCACACATGTGCATGGCTTCTCTGGGCCTTGTGTTGTCTTCCCAGAATTGTGAGGATGAATGAGACACTATGGGTCATGCCTGGTAAACAGCAACTGCACAGTTTTTAAGGTTTAGTCTTTCTTCCCAAACGGTTCAAGATGTAGCTTGGCAGCTAGATCAGTCATCACTGCCAGGAGCCTTCCAGTATCTGATCTCGGGGAGCTGAAGCATGACTGGATGGCCAATGATACAGTCAGAAGGATGTCCTGCTGCATGCCCAGGGCAGCTGTGACTGCTCTGCTCAGGAACAACATGCAGAAAGAGATGCTAACCTGAGTCATGGAGAAAGGCTTCCCCCTCTTCTCTCCCCATCCTTGTCAAAGGCAGCCAGAAGCTGACTGGGAGCCCCTGGCTCCGTGTGCCTGAACAAAGATGAGTTGGATTAAAGTGGGCACCTTGGCAAGAAGAAAGAAACCAGAACCCAGATGGGATGACCAGGAGGTTGGAGGAAGAAGGCCATGTAACGTGCATGCACAGGCTCCAGAGCCATCTGTGTTCATGGGATACAAAACCCTGTCATCCTAGCCTGTTGTAATCCACGCCTGTCATCCTAGCTACCCAGGAGGCTGAGACCTGAGGATCGTTCAAAGTCAGCCCAGGCAGGAAAGTCCATGAGACTTATCTCCAATAAACCACCAGAAAACCGGAAGTGGCACTGTAGCTCAAGAGGTAGAGTGTTCACCTTGAGCTGAAGAGCTGAGGGAATAAATAAATATACAAACAAGTCTATGAAAAGATAAATCCACAAACATAGTGAAAGCTTATAGTATATCTTTCTTAATTTATGGAACAAGATTAAAAGACCAGGATGGATATAGAAATATAAATGGCACAATACAAATCTGACCTGGTTATTATATGTCAAAATCTGTACCCACAAGAGCACAATTTACTTTTTTTTATTGGCCAGTCTTGGGGCTTGAACTCAGGGCCTGGACACTGTCCCTGAGCTTCTTTTGCTCATGGCAAGTACAGTCCCTTTTCTGGCTTTTTCTGTTTATGTGATACTGAGGAATCGAACCCAGAGCTTCATGCATGCTAGGCACTCTACCACTAAGCCACATTCCCCGCCTACAATTTACTTTTTGAGTGTCTATAAAGTGATAATTGTATTCATATAGTGGGTAAAAAGACTGCAAATTTCAAGACACTGAATTAAGAAAAAGTTATTTGACCAAAACAGAATTAGCCCAGAAATAACAAAAAGACAATTACATCATGATGAAACTTTCATCATACTGTTCATATATGCTAACTAAACAATAAAATAAAAATAAGAAACATAATTTCCAATACTTGGAAATTTAAAAACATATTTCTAAGTAATCCATATAAATATTATAAAATAATTTTAATTGAATGTGATTGTTAAAAGATATAGAATAAAAACTCCATGTATGAAGCTAATATAGAACACAGAGGGAAATTTAGAATCTTAAAATGTATGTGGTACAAAAATGGAAAGTCTGAAAAATCAGTGATTTATTCTTCTACATTAAGAGCAAAAGAACAGAAAAGAATAAGGAAAATAGGAAGTAAATAATAAGTATTATAAAGCAGTAAAATAGAAATATACTGTAGAGAAAACCAACAAAGCCAAAAGTTCTTTTAAAATAGTGTTTAAATTAAATGCCAAATGCTGGTGGCTCACACCTAGCTACTCAGTAGGTTGGGATCTGAAGATCAGGATTTGAAGCCAACCTGGTAAGACAACGAAATTCTTATCTCCAGTTAATCAGCAAAATGCCATAGGTAGCACTGTGGCTCAAGTAGTAGAATTCCAGCTTTGACTGGAAAAAGCTAAGCCCAAGAGTGAGTTGAAGACCCAATACCAACATGAACATACACACACACACACACACACACACACACACACACCATACACAGAGTTTAACTAGATTTAAATAGATAGCTTGCTACCAGCCAACAAAAATTACTGTCAATATTAGAAAGGGATATTACTAAAGATCCTACAGACATGGAAAAGATAAAATTATTGCTCTTACTCCAAAGAATTGACCCAGCTCAGATGACACAGACAAACTCTTTGAGAAACGCAACTTTCCAACATCCACTGAGAGAAAAAAACCAAAAAATCTTACTTATCCAATAAACAAGTTGAATTTATTACATAAGAACCTCTCAGAAAGAAAACACGAAGCCAGATACTCTCATCAATCCCCCACATATTTAAAAAATAACACCAATCTTCCACAAACTCTCACAGAGAAGGAAAAACAAGACTTTGCTTCCTGACTCCTTTCATGTGACTAATATGATCTTGATAGAAAAATAGGATATTACAAGACGGAAAAATTACAGACCAGTCTCAGGCATTGTTATATAACAAAAAGTAAACATTTGGTCTTTGTCCCTGATTCCTGATACACAGCTCCTAAACCCCTTAGCCTCTCAATAACTCTAAGAGCGTCTTTTGTATGTCACTGAGATGCCTCTAGGATGAGCCCCTCCTCCCTTCAGGCTGAGGGCTCACCAGAAAGATCTAGGCATGGTTACAGAGTTGAGAGTTCCAATTGTGATCCCTGAGCTTCAGGGAGAGGAGAGGGGAGGGGTAAAGTGCTAGAGATTGACTTGATAACCAGCAACCTAATTAGTCATTCCAGTGTAATGATTCCTCCATAAAAACCCTAGCTGATGGAAATCAACGTGCTGGGATACTGATGAAGTCAAAGAGGGTGTACTCAAAAGAATGTGTGTGTGTAACAGAGTGTGTGTGTGTAACAGTGTGTGTGTAACTGTGTGTGTGTAACAGTGTGTGTGTAACAGAGTGTGTGTAACAGAGTGTGTGTGTGTGTGTGTGTGTGTGTGTGTGTAACAGAGTGTGTGTATGTCCCCTCCCCTTGCCTTCTTCATCTCTTCCATTTGACTATGGCTAAATTGTTCCCATTATGGTAAATCAATAATATTCAGTAAAGTACTTTGTGACTCTCATCTCTGGTTTTGCTCCAATCCATCTAACAAAACAAGAGGCTGACGCTTTTCAGAGTACTGTTTAACAACTAACTGCCCTGTCACCTGCCCTGGCGGCTACGGGTAGGTCCTGGGAGATTCAGTAACTCACTGAAGGTCCTGGTGCTGATAAATGTCAGAGCTGAGATGT